GCCGCAAAGTTCCGCGGCCATGGCCGAGGAGTCGCGGCCTTGACCGCGCATGGCCCCTCCGAGGGAGATTCATAGGTTGTAGCTGCTACAATTCTGAAAGGTCAAGCCTACGACCTTCCAGAACTTCCGGAAGTGGCCTTTCGTGAGTAGTAGGGGTCAGTTCGTGTCTGAGTCAGCAGAGGGCAGTCCTAGCACAGTCAGCAAAGGGCAGTCCTAGTCCTACCTTGCCCAGTCAGCGGTATCCGGTCCCAAGGTGCACTTTGTCCAGTCAGCAAGTACCGTGTGGGACTGTGGCATTCTGCACACCCCGGGCCCAGGGTCAAAGGGCAGACCTACGACAATCCGAAGTATAAATAAAGAGGCAGCGTCAAGTTATTGATTCATTCTGCCTGTGAGCCGTGCGGAAGCGCTGTCGGAGCGTCTTGTGTACAAAGGTTTGCAGGTGCCCATAGGCATAGGAGAAGTAGGCTAAGAGGAAGAAGACATGGCCATAGCCGCGAGGTTGTTAGTAAGAGGTAGAAGACGGCAGCCATAGCTGCACAGAGGTTAGAGGTAGAGAGTGTGTCAGTGTGAGTGTGTGTGTGCGGGACATCCAGGGAAATCCAGAGTGTGTGCATGTGTGTGAATACGTTGCTGGTGAATATAGTTGACTGGTTGGGGATCTTTGTCTGATGCTTAGCGCCATAGTCGTTGAAGACAAGTTTGAATCTGAGCTGTGTTCCTGGCTACACTTATCTCTGAGCTTTGTGTGGGCGCCAAGCGACAAGTGTGATCGTCATCTGTTTGCATGCATGCTGAGGTCGAAGAAGACAAGTCTGATTGCATTGGTATCAGAGCTGGTTCCCGCTATCCCGCTGATGCGATTGCCGTTGTCCACGTCAGCAACGCGAGAGCTGTTGTCGTCGTCATCATCAACCGGCGCCGAAGAGAGGAGGAGGGGCACCAAGGCGCCTCAGCATCCGATGTGCCGCCCATCGAAGAAGTGCGCACCATTGTGTGCCGTTTATAATCGCTTGCCCCGCTGTTCAGACCGCGCTAGAGTATGGGCGCTGGTCGCTTGTCGCAAGATGTCGCCGCGCGCGCCCGGCTATATCTCGTGCGCGCTATTGCTGATTACGCCCCGCTGCCCGCTGTTGCACGAGCGCTCTGCTCTGATCACATGCCCCGCTGAGCGCCCGTTATCGCTGCACGCTCGCGCCGTGCCCCGCTGGTTCGCAACTTCGCTGTGCGCCCTGCTGCTGCCGCTTGCCGCTGCGCACTGTTGCCCATTGCACGTGCTCGCCATAGGAGGTAGCGCGCGCGTTATTGCACTGTTGGGGATGAACTTGCACGGAAGAAGATGACGGAGAGAGAGAGAGAGAGAGAGAGAGAGAGAGAGAGAGAGAGAGAGAGAGAGAGAGAGAGAGAGAG